GAGGGATGGGATGGGGATGGGGGAGCGGGACCCCCCTGCTGCCTGCTCTGATCAAAGCTCTCCCCAGATGTGGCACCGGGGACAGCCCAGGGGCGGCCACTTGACCCTGCAGCTGAACTTGGGCACGGAGGGCGGCGGGCACCGGCTCCCGGGGCTCTGGGGGACGGCATTTGCTGCTCTGCTTTCTTTCATTCCCGTTATTTTTCCGAGGGCCTCCCGTGGGAGCCGCGAGTGGTTTGATCGACACTCCAAAGCGAGCACGGGAGGGTAAATAAGGCTTTCTCCTGGAGTTTATTGCAAGCTGCCTTTCAGTTCCACTCTATTTTCACCAGCTGTTTACAAAGTGCCCTTTGCTACTGCAATCAGCTTGCAGCAAAGCAGCAGTGGAGGATTTTGCCAAAGGAGCCCGAGTTTTGCCGTGTGCTTTTTTTCCTTGGCTGCACCTTGAGAAAGCAGCCAATTATAGTGTGATATAAAGAAACTCGACTGGCAGCTAAAACACTTGACAGGCTGATCAAAACAAGGCGAGGAACTTACTCTCAACCTGCTGCAGACATATTTAGCCTTGAGTGATACTGGCAAAGGTTCAAGAGAAACCGCAGCAGCACGCCCGATGTGTGTTTGGTTTCTAATCACTAACACTTCATTATACAAAATAAATACTTTATTATTACAGTGTTTATTAAATTACATAATTTGCGGCGTGCCTTATAGTCGTGGATACAGATGGCAGTCTGGTTTTGGTGGTGGGAATAATGCTCTTTTTTTTTTTTTATTTTATTTCCCTGAGAAGACATTCCCAGCCCCAGACCACAGCTTGCTTGTCGTTCCCCGCCGTGCAGGGGTGGGAGGTGGCAGCTTTCAGACCTTTACGTCTGTTTTTGGGAGCTGTCCAAGGAAAGGTTAAAAATCAGGACTGTGGAGTAGCACAGTGTCCTGACCAACATCCTTCCCCTCACTAAAACAGCATCTGATGTCTGTGGCTACTGCTGAGGCCACCACAACTCATTAAAGTGTGCTGAGGTGCCTCAAGCGTGAAAGTTGCTGCATAAAATCAGATTCTTTTTATTAAATGAGGACATCCATTACGCTGCACTAGCTACTGTACATGTTATAATTCACTTTATAGCACCATCTGTTAAGACTGTCTTGCTTAAGCTTTTCATAGCATTTTTTTATTGCAAGTTATTAAAAAATATGGCTGCATCTATTAATCATTTATTAATAAAGGGTTTATAAATGGACCCTCAGTTTCCAGAATTAGTCGACTCGTACGTGATGTGCTGAGTCCCCTGCTGCTCGTGCTCCTTGGGGTGCAGTGTCTCCACAGGGAGACCCTGGGAGCCCATCCAGTGCTCCTGTCTGTGCTTCTGGGGTTGGGGATGGCAGGGATGGCTGTGGGGGGACACAGGTGGGTGTGGAGCAGGCAGGAGAGCAGCAGTGAGCCCGAGGGGTGTGCTGCCAGCAGCTGTGTGGGGCACGGCTGGCTGTGGTGTTGCTGGTTTGTTGTTCCATTGGTGTTCAAGGGTGAGAAGTGTGAGGGCAGAAACCTCCTCTGGAGCCAGAGCAAGCTGCAGCCTCAGCATCCCTGTGTGATCCTCCCTCCGTATCCTGCTCCCAGGCTGAGTTTGCTCTTCCAGCTGCACTGGTCTGTTTGCATTTCCAGCTGCTGCTGGCCTGTCCCACATGCTGGAGTGGGGACAGGAGTAGGGATTTTAAAGGTGCTGTGTTTGTGCAAATTTTGTGCACTTTGGTGACAGAGGTGAAGAGGTGAATGTCTCTGTCAAGGAGGGAGTGCAGGGTCAGCCTTCCCCTCCTGGCTTTTGGAAGGCTCTGAGCATCACCAAGCACCCTCTTGAGCATCCATTCCCAGTGACTGCCTCCTTCCATCTCCCTCCCTGCATCAGTTCAGGCACAGCCTGTGGTGGGACTGTTGCTCTCTGGAAATGTCAGTGAGTCTGGAGGGACAGACCTGGGGAAGCCAAGTGTCCCCTGTGCTTGCTGTGACAGTCACACACTTCCAGACCAGGCACTCCTTGGGCAGGACCATTTTGGAGCAAATGAGGTCAGTGTCTGGTTTATAGGATCCTCTGCTGTGGTTTTTGGACAAAAAGGATCCATTTTCAGCTTGAACAGCAGGAAGAGCTTCTCTCTGCCTTGGACACCCCTGATCTCGCCCTGAGGGGAAGATGTTCTAATGGCAAAAGTTTCCCTGCATTGATAAACAGAAGAGCAGATCCTGGGAGGTCTTCCAGCCTCTTGTGCAGAGTGGGAAATAGGAGTAGTGAAGAACCTGAAGGAGGAAACTTGCAGTGCTGAGTGATGGGAGAAGCTGATGGAAATCTCCATTTTGGGTGACCCAGCTGTGGCGTGTGCTGCCCGCCCAGCTCTGCTGGGCAGCTTTGAGCTGGGATGTGCTGCCTGTGCAGTGACAGCCCTGGCTGTGCCCTGCAACCCCTTCCATGATGAATATGCCAAGATGCAGATTTCCTGCCCTGCAGTTCCAGGAGCTGCTGTTTCAGTGCCAGCCTTGCTGCGTGTCTGACTTAAGGTGCTCCGAGGATCAAGCCCTCTAAAAACCATGCCCTGTTTTACAATGTCACACTCACAGCCATCAAAATAATCTTGTTTGGAGCCTTCTTTCTAGGGAAATAGGAATGCTGTGTGCCCAGAGGTGCTGTGTGATTCAGGACAAGCTTTCCTGGTGTCCTGTCCCCTGTGGCACCTTTTCCCTGTGGTAGGAGGGAGCTGCAGGCCGGGCACA